CTTTAAAGGATGGAAGATGATGGTTAAAAGTACCTGGGCAGCATCTGACTGTGCCCAGGTCTCTGGTTCCCTCCCACAGCTGGGCTTGAATGGCCTGACTTTGAAACCTTCCCAGCAAGGGCAATAACACTGAGCTGCTTCTCCCAAACCTGGGTAAAAAAAAAAGAGCATTTCTGCTGGTTTCAGGCTGCAGGTTCATGCAGCAGCTCATTCCAAAGGACCTGCAGTTGGAGAATCCATCCCTGGAGCATCATCTGAGGAAGAGTGAGAATAACTCCAAGGAGCAGAGAGCCCATGACTCTCTTCTTCCTTTTGGAGTCAAGGATCTGTGTGATTTGTGGGCCTGACTGGAAGCAGATGGACCTGTCAGGGCTGGGGCAGGTGAGCAGAGCAGGCAGATGAGCTGCTAAGTGCTCCCAGCTGCCAGGCTGGGCCCAGAGGAAATTGTTGGAGCTGGAACCCAGCACAGAGGGGAGACCTGGAGCCAGTGCCAAGAAGAAAAAGGTGAAATTCTCCAAAACCTGAAAGAGTGAGGCTTTTAAAAGAAGAGAAAGTCTCTGAAAACCTCTTTAGTGCCTCTCATGGATCTTCAGAGGGCTGGGAGCCATCCTGAGCCCCTGCTTTTTGTTCTGGACCTGCCTCCTTAGACAGCAAATATCACTTCTCCTGGGGGTTCTCCCTTATTGCTGGTGTTTTCCTCTCCAGAAAGGTCTTGTATTTTGTTGGTTTATGTCCTTTGATTTATACCTTTGAGGGCTCCAACACAAAACCTGCACTGCTTCTTGTACTTAATTGCTGCAATAAACTTCCAACAAGTGTGGGCACTTCAGGATAAGCAATCCAGAAGGGAATTGGTTGATATGTGAAAGTGGCTGGTGAGTCCTTCTTGTGGAAGTCACCAAAGGGACACAGAGAAGTGGGTTCATAAATAACTACAAAATTCAGGAACTCCCAGTGAGACCAGAGCCCTGTTCAGCGGGAACAACTTGCAGAGCAATTCCCACAACATCTGCAAAAGTCCTTGGAGCCAATCCCATTCCCAACAGCCCCAGCTGCTGCATCCAGGCTGCCTGACACTTCTATAACCCTGGGACTTGCACAGCCATGGGAAGGGGTACCCAGAGCTTGCATCCCAAAATGCTGATCAAGAAAAGGGGATGTACAAGCCCCAAACTTTTCTGCAGGTTGCAAGGAAGGTGTTTTTTTTCTTTTCTTTGGCAAAATTACTTGATCAAAAAGAACTCTTTCTGGCTTAAAAGCTGTTTTTTTTTTTCCAGTTCCCTGTGGCTGATTGATGAGGTGGGGGTGTTGGGAAGGGAGCTGCTGTGGCTGGGGGGGGGCAGGGCTGCTGCCCTTGCTCTGGTGCTTCCAAGAGCCACATCTGTAGAGAAAACTGGGCAATCCATCCAGGGGGGCCAATGCCAAGGGAGGAGGTGGCCCTGGCAGCAGAGCAAAGCTTGGCTCCAGCCACCCCGTGCTGCTGGGACAACCTGGGAGGGACTGGGAGACCTGTCCCCCCAAACCCTTCCAGAGGCCAGGAGAGGTCCTGTGGGGCTGGCAGTTTTCCAACTCTGCCATAGCTCTTCTGTAGCCTCCTGAGTGAGCCCTGGTGGAAGAGTCACTGCACAGTTTGTGTCAGACAGACGGACACACGAAACCAAGAGGAAAGGACACGTCAGCCTTGGGGAGCATCTGTTTCCAATCCCACGTGTTTACGTATTAATGTGCAATACAAATTTGTAAACATGAATGTTTGAGACTCTTGCAGGAACCGATACCAACCTTCTCCCTCTCTGCAGCTTGATTGGAACAGCATGTCCCCCCTCCTCCCACCCCTCCCCACCACACATGGACGTCGTTTCCATCCTGGATGCATTTCAAATGGTCTGGCTGCTTATTTGTTCTGGTCTACCTTGCTAGCCAATCCTCATTTGCTTTGCATAATTGTGATACAAATTATCATCTAATTACAGACCAGACCTCAGAAGATCAAATGGAAACCAAGGCTCTTCCATCTGAAAAGCTACATCCGACGCTCCCTCTGTGCCTTGGCTTGACCAGTAGATGTGTTCAATTGGGGTGGAATTGGATAGGAAATGGCACTTTGATTAAAAACATCATTGCTGGGTTGCTTTTTTTTTCTGTTTCTTTGGGTTTTAAATCAACCTCCCTGTGTCTGAGGACCAAGCCCATCCCGTGTCCCAGTGTCGAGTGAGGACGCGGCGCCCTTGGCACAACCAGCTTTGTTTGCCAAGTGCTTTGAATGGGACCAGATATGTATGATATCATATATATAACATATTTATAGCTATAATTCTATATATTCTATATAATATATATGATCTAGAAAGGCAGCACTTATCTAAGTCTATAATATAATGTATGTAAGATTATAGAACAATCTTGTTCAAGATAAGTGCTGTCTCACCATATCATATGTATACATTATATGATATATATTAAATCATATATTTGGTCTGGTGGGAGGTGTCCCTGCCCATGCAGGGGGGTTGGAACTAGGTGATCTTTAAGGTCCCTTCCAACCCAAACCATTCTATGCTTTATCATATATTCCCAAGTAACTTCACACTCCTGTTGGGAAAGCTCCAATGACTAATAGCTAAGATTGTTCATCAGTTTTAATCTTAAATTATTTTCTCCCTGCTCTCATTTTAAAACAGCACCATAATGTTGGCTTTGTGCTTATATTCACCCACTAAATGCAAAGAACTGTGAACTCCTGCAGTTGCCCCTGGTTCCCAGATAATGTTGATGAGAAGAAGTGCCAAGAGGCGTGTGACGTGCGTGTGTTTACAGGCACGTGGCCCCAGCTGGAATATTGACCTCCTTCTCCCCAGCTTCCCAGGAATAAATGTGCTTTTGGAGCCCGTCACCCCAGTGCTGGGCTTTGTAGTTTCATGGCAAAAAGCAGAGAATAAACAAGCAGCTCTGGGAAGCCCCATTCCCACTTGTGAATGTGCTCCAAGGAGGAATGAGGAGGGTCTGGTTAAGAAGACCAAACACTCTGCTGCAGTGGAAGGAATTGATGGGATCTCAGGTTAAATTTCTGGCACTGCAAACTTGTCTTCAATTGAAATATCTATTCTAGTCATTGTCAGTCAAGTTTCTAACTAGACAAATCTGTCAGAACTCCAGCTCATGGCTGGCAACTCCAAGTACCTCATGCAACCAGAAATATCTGGAAAACTGGAAGTTACCCAGTGCATCCACCCACCAACCCAAGGCTGATCCAGGAGAGCCCTCCCAGCTCCCCACAACGTGGGAACTGGCACTTGGTCCCCCCACCCATGGGGAGCAGAGACCTGCAGGGCCCATCCCAGAACTCACCCACCACCAGTGATGAGGGACAGCTTGGAAATAAGGACTCCCTGATGAAAAAAAAATGCCTTTTTTTTTTTTTTTCCTTTAAATAAAAATAGTGAGATAAACTGCTGAGTGACAGCACCAGGAAGCAGATCTGCTCCTTGTTGCAGTGGTACAGACCATTCAGCAAGGTCAGCCTGGCTCCCTGCTCCATCCTGCTATTGCTGGGGGCTCTGCAGACACTCAGAGCAGTGAAACTCAGGAAATCAGGTTTTTAGCAAAGTCTTGTGAAAGTAAAATTGTGATTTCTTTTTGTTATTTCAACAGCTTTTGATACTGTTTGTTCTCTGAAATCATTGCCTGCTATGGATGGAAATAAAGCCAGGACTCTGGTACCAGTTTTGATCCTTCAAGGTGCACTCAAGCCCTACACAGCCATGGTTTGTCTTTGTAAATACAGGATTGTCTTCTTTTAATCCCATCAAAGAGGAGTTTCAAATCTCTCTCTATGTATCAAGTAATAAAACTGGCTGAAGCAGGGACTGAGCATCAATCAAATAAAGAGTAAAATCTGTGCCCCAATTTATTGCGAGTTACATTGTGCCCTTGGGAGCTAGAGAGTATTTACAGGAATAACAAGAATATCCACAGGTTATAATAAAACAAACAAAACTTTAGGAAGGGACTGAAAAATCTCCTGTTCCAGGGCCTGTAGAGCTGCAATTCTCTGGAAAAGATTTGTGTTCTCCATGGGATCGGGCACAGGCTGGTGGATGCAATCCCAGGGGGATCTTTTATGTCTCTTGGTGCTGGAAGTGCTGGGTAGGAGGGGTGTCCTGCAGGGCTCCTGGAGGTGCTTCAACCCACACAGCTCTCTGAGATGGACCTACCATGTCCCCAGGGTGGATCCAGCTCACCACGGGGCAGATGTGTCACCCCCATCCTCGGTTACTTCCCACCGTGTTGTCAACACTGGTGCTGCTCTGCACCACCACCTGGAGACCTCTGGAAACAGGAGCATGGAGAGGAGGACTCTTGGGGAACCCCTGTACTGGGTTCTGCCATCTCACCTCACAAGGCAGGAACACATCCATCCTTTATCCCATTTTTCTTTACCTTGGCAGCTGATGCTTGAATTTACATCCCAACTCTGATAACCGAGTACTCTGGGTCCTGGAGCACCAGGGCACTTTGATGTCATGAATTAGGACCCAAGGGAACTTGAGAACATCCTCAAGGACTTGAGAAATCTTGGGAGACCTTGCTGACTCAAAATCTCAATAGTCCCTATGAAATTAGTGGGAAAACTCCAGCAGGGTGAGCAGGAGCTCACCGGGGCTTGGCGCTGACTGAAGGCTGGACAGAGAGTTCCAAGAAAACATCTTTATAGCAAAGTATACCTCCACGTTCCTGCTTCAGAGTGCAAATATGAAAAAGGGTGACTGTACAGTTTGCTCTTAACCTAAAGCCACAACATAAATATCACTGAAAGGTGTCACCTTGCTGTGGATCATCTCAGACCCTCCGCGCTCCCCCCTCCGCCGCCCTCCCAACAACCCGACCCCTCAACACCTAAACGCACCCCTCCTGTACCCTGCAGGGGTTCAGAGTCAGTAACTAGCAAGCCCGGGGGTATGAGGGAAGGAGAGGCTTGCCTCAAACAGTCTGGAATTCCACTAGAGGCAATGGTTAATGGTGGGGTGCCAGCTGGAGTGGTTACATCTGCCGTCCCGCAGGGAAGCGGGGACGCCGTCGCTCACTTTGAAATGGCTCGTCGCAGTCATCAGCCTGGATGGCACGGAGAAGTTGTAACCATACAAGCCATATGGAGGATGTAAAGAACAATTAAGTGCTTCCCGAGCCATGGGACTCGATGGGAAAATGTTTCCAGATGCATGTAATCCATACAGCACTTGACCAGCAGAGCCGGGTACTTGCAGACATTGCCCGTTCGAGTCTTCGGCTTTGGCGCTTTTCAGGTTGGTTATGGCGAGGGAGGAGAGTTTGGGCACATCCACCATGAAGTGGGGTAGGAGGTGTGGGTTGGTGCCTCCCAGCTTTTCGTGGCTTGGGAAGAGGAGAGACTGTTGCCTTAGGAAGCTGGTAGGACAAATCTTGTAGTAGAGGGGCAGGTTGAGGTTGTGCAGGTAGGTCTCGGGGCACGACACGCCGACGCCGCTGGCTGAGAAGTGAAGTGTTGGAGGTGAGCAGGATGGAGAGAGCAGGGTGTTGAGAGGAGAAGGTGTCCCACCACCACTGGAGGTCACTGGGGAAGAACTGGAGCTCCCACCTGAAAATGGAGAACAGAAATGGTCTGGGATGAGCCAGCCACCACCGGCAGCTGAGGAACCCATGGAGGACTTCAGCTCCACAGCTCCCTGCCCGCTGTGTCCACCCCAACACAAACCTGCTCTGAATACCAGCTCCTGGAAAACGGGAAGATTTGTCCATAAATGATTTTGTGTTGTTACTTGGCACTTATCTAAGAACAATATTCCCACCTGGCTAATCCCTTTTACCAGGACAACGAGGAGTTTCAGCTCCACAAATCCAGGTACCTGCTGGGTCTGTGCCTCGCTGTGTGACCACTAACCTTCTCCTCTCAAACATACACCATTTTCCCCTATTTTCCCTGCAAATTACAGGCAGTTTCCCCCCTTCCTTGCACGTCAGAACAAAAAAATGTATTCAGCCTGATGGAGACATTTTTTTTGCACCTTCCTGCTCCCGGGAATTAACTCATTTTACTTGACTTCCCAGGCAATTTGAAACGTATCCTTGAAAATGAGAAGCGTCTCCAGAAACTTCAAATTCACGTGTCATATGAACTTTCTCCTTTCTGAAATGGATCAATGAGCACTTTCATAATTCATCAGGGGAGTGACGACTCGTTTCACACCCGTGAGGGGTGGAACTTGTCTGCTCAGCACCAGCAACATCCAGAGCTACAACTGGGATGAGGTGGGGTTGGTGCTCTGGAGCTGCTGGCCCTGATCCTGCACAGCTGCTGCTTTCATCTCACACCATTTAAGAGCCGTGTGTCTCTGCTGCACTTTCATTATGATCACATTCTTCCAGAGGGGTTTTTTCCCCCTCCTTTATTTCCAGTTCCTAGCAAAGTCGCTGGGAAAGGAAGGAAAGGAACGTGCATCCATTTCTGCTCTGTATTTTACTCTATTTACATTCAATTTAACTAATATCTTAGTATTTTACTCTATTTACATTCAATTCAATTAATATCTTAGTATTTTACTCTATTGACATTCAATTCAATTAATATCTTAGTCTTTTACTCTATTTACATTCAATTTAATTAATATATTAGTCTTTTACTCTATTTACATTCAATTCAATTAATATCTTAGTCTTTTACTCTATTTACATTCAATTTAATTAATATCTTAGTCTTTTACTCTATTTACATTCAATTCAAATAATATCTTAGTCTTTTACTCTATTTACATTCAATTTAATTAATATATTAGTATTTTACTCTATTTGCATTCAATTCAATTAATATATTAGTATTTTACTCTATTTACATTCAGTTTAATTAATACCTTAGTCTTTTTCTCTATTGACATTCAATTCAATTAATATATTAGTATTTTTCTCTATTGACATTCAATTCATTTTTACTATTTTTCTCTAATTATATTCAATTCAATTAATACCTTACCTAGCTGTGACCTGGCCAGACCTTACATGCAACCAAGCAACCCCAACCTGACTCCATAACCAACCCACATCAAACTTTTACAAAGCACAAGGGTTTTTTTTTGGTGCAAATTCATTTGACAAACTCCCAGCGAGCAGAGCATCCCCCAGGCTGGGAATGCTGAGCTGGGAATGCTGGAGGGCTTGGACATCTCTGATGCTGTGTCAGAACTGGAGGGGCTGCAGGGCAGGGACCTGCTCCTCTCCCAGCAGACACATCCTGATGCCCTCCCAGCACTGGGAGACTTTGGATCATGGAAAACACTGCGATGAAGCCCATTTATATGAGGGTGAGACAGGGAATCAATCTGCTACAGCAGAACAAACGAGCACTAAGATTCCCTTCGAGAAATAATATCCCCCCAACTTCCAGCACAAGTTTGGGAACGGGGATCACAATGGGAAGGGCAGAACTCCAAGAGCTGATGCTTTCTACCCTTTCTAGGAGGCTTAAAACCCCCAGGTTCACATCCAGTTCTTTCCCCACCACGTTATTCCTTTAAAAAAGAATTTCTCTACAGGTTTGGGGGCTTCAGAGCTTCTGTTTTTCAGTTTTCCAGCAGAAATGCAGCTTTATCAGCAGTAGAATTGGAGGTTTTGTTATATGGACGTCGGGCCAGGAAATGAGCTCTGAAGAAAAACACCAATTCCTTTAAAACTAGCAAACAAAATGGAAATTAAACAGATTTCAGGCAGCCCTGATATTTTAGCATCTGCAGCATCATTGTTCCCACTGCTGGTCTCTCATTCCCAGCGCCCACCAGCTTCTCTCCCCAGTAGCTCCTCACAGCCAAAAGGGCTTTTAAATCACTTTCCCCATAATACTAATAATACTAATTCTATTCATTTTTTAAAAATCTAGTTCTCTTTACAGCCCGGTAAACTTTTCTCCCGAGCCTGATTTTTTGGGGATGTCTCTTCATTTCCCGCAGGGATTTTTGCAGGGATTGTTGCAGGGATTTTTGCAGGGATTGTTGCAGGGATTGTTGCAGGGATTTTTGCAGGGATTGTTGCAGGGATTGTTGCAGGGATTGTTGCAGGGATTTTTGCAGGGATTGTTGCAGGGATTGTTGCAGGGATTGTTGCAGGGATTGTTGCAGGGATTGTTGCAGGGATTGTTGCAGGGATTGTTGCAGGGATTGTTGTCCCCGCAGAGACGGGAACGATTCGGGCCCCCCCGACACTCTGAGGAGTCTCTGACATAGATGCCGATGAAACTGCCGACTTGACACCCAAACCGGAGCGCTCCAGCCTGCAAATCCTCCCTTATTTTCTTCAATTTCTGCGCTATAAACAATGAGTTTTCAACCAACACCCCCAGAAACCGGCGGGGTTTGTTTTTTTTTCCGGGGCTGTGAGAGCGATGGGTGTTTGTCAAACGAAAGGAGACCGTTTTCCTGGATTTTTTTCCCACTCTTTTGCATTTTTGCCGAGGGAAGGGACGCCTTAAAGAGCCGATGATTTGATTTTCACTGGCAGAGCAGCGTTTGTCCGCCCGGGCAGGAGGCACCGGCCGCCGTTATCACCCCGTTTTCAGCCCTTATTCTCCAACGGGTTGGAAACAATTAGTGTCACAGGATCAAAGCCTTCCCAACCCGGCTCTAAATGAACCTCCTGCCTGCTCAGATAAATTTTTTCAGCTCATCTCCATCTGATTCCTGCCCTCGCCCTTCTCTTCCCTCAGCTCCTCCGGCTGATTTTAACCGGAGCGTTGTTTGTTTGTTTGTTTGTTTCTCGCCTAAAACACTCGGAATTGGTTTCCCACAACGCTCCGTTAGCCAGAGGTTTATTTTTTGGACCCACCTGCTTATTTTTAAGGGTTAAAGAGCCCGGGATCTCCCCCGCGGGGACCTCCGGGGGGGCGGTCACGGCGCAGCCCCGAGGGCGCGGGGAGATGCGGGCTGGGAAAGGCAGCAAACGGGATTTACCTTGGTTGTCTGCGCCGAAAGCCTTGAAATCCAGGGCGAGGGGGGGTCGCCAAGGGTAGGTCTCCAGGAGCCCGTCCAGGACCCCCCTGCGGGGGGAAGAG